GTCAGCTACGATTTCCATTTAAAAAAATATAACTTTGGGTCATAACTCCGAAATCTTAAGATCTACTAAAAATCTAATACCGGCATTCAATTCTATGCCAAAGAATTAGTCTTGAGCAGTTTTTACTTTAACTCTAACTTATTTAACAGCTGAGATACAGACATGTTAAAAAGTGTCACAATAATGAGAAACGCCCTGTAACTCCGAAACAAATGAAGATAGCAAATTTCCGATCTGACAGTCTAGTTTGCCATGAAAATCGAGCTCGAGAACGTGGTGTCACATTTATCATATCTTTGGTAGTTTCTGAAATACCCTGAATTCCCATCGAAAATGGACCAGCCTGTACAAACACAATTAAAGGGTTTACACAACTTTTTAATAATGAACACAGTCAAAATAGAGCATACTCGAGTATACTTTAAAGTGATTGAAGATAAATAACCCTTTCTAAAACTTCAACCCAATGCAAAAATTTTTTGTTTTATGAATATTTTTATTTAGCTAACTGTAATAATAAATTTTATAATTTTAGGTACATTCAGTTGTAGACGATGTAGTAAATCTGGAACTATTCAAAAATCAACCTAACAACCGAATAACAAAATCCATTAATCAGTTCATGATAGAGCAAGGATTTGCAGAACCAGCCGTAGAAGGTTTCCTTTCAAAGGTAAGATTATTAACTTTTCATGTTTGTAGTTATATTTTTTGGTTTTTGTTGATCAGGCGGATCATCAGAAAAGGCAAATGGTGATCAAGGCAGAGAATCCCATTCTAGAAGCAGCAAAGTTAAGCTTCGATAAAACTACAAACTGCTATGAATTTAAAATGCCAGAAACATTTACACATGAAAAAACAATCAGGTTAAGAGGTCCATTTAGTCCTCTAGAAATGAAATTTCACGGTTGCGTCGAGAGCTCTATGAATAAGTCTGTAGATGTCGATGGTAGTTCCGTCAACACTGTTTTACTAGATAATGATCCTCAAGCTTATCAAACAAGGTAGTATTTATTATCCAATGGTGTACAGGGTGTAACTTTCAATGTGGGTTATATTTTTACAGAGGCTACCTTTTACCTTCCAAACGCATTTCGCTTTAACCCTTTTTTTCCACAATCTACCCAATTGCTGTGTCAAATCTCATTTTTTTTATATTTATATACATATTTTACACCTCATAAACAGATAAACTGAAAACTAACTAAAGTAAATTTAATAAAATAATAAAGTAAATGAAATTAACATTCCAAATTTATTTTTTTTTTGTTTGCCTACCACATCAGGTAGATTGATATTGAGTAGTTCATGTTAACTGAATAAAATTAGAATTCATTGTAACTGAGATTGGCGAACTAAATACAATGTTTAGATAAAATGGTAACATATACATTTTATCAAAAACTTAAATTGATTTTTAAAAAATATTTCAAATCTATCAACAGGGAAAATTGGTTATAACGACCTTCAAGGGTCCGTTTGTTTACGGTTGTTATAACCGATAGACGTATTTAAAATTTTTATTGAAAAAATGAGAAAGTTCACAATACAAGTCTTTAAGTATTTATACGTATAACTTTGTATTCAGAAGATCTCGCTTGCTTTATTTTGAGTGAATTGTTTTCGAATAGAGATTTTATTTTATTTCTATCCTTCCAAATTGTTGAAATCGTAATGTGACATGTCACATTTTTTTGCTATGCTTGCATTAGTTTCTCCATTTTCTAGTCTCTATATTATATGTGATTTTTCTTCTTGATTAAACATTGTTCTTTTTGACATCGTGATAGAAAGTGGTAATTACTGGTGTCAAAACCGTGGATTGGTCGTTATAACCGATAGATTCTATGGTAAATATAAATAAAAATGCGTTGCTAATTCCGAAATGTCGTTGTAAACGGTGTCGTAGGAAATGATATTTTTAATATGGTATTTCTATAGGATTTAATCGGAACTTCCAAATTCAGTCATTATATCCATTAGATCGTATAAAGCAATGCTGTTATAACCAATTTTCACTGTATTATTAATTTTATATTATGTACTTCCATTTTATAAAACAGCAAAAATGATTATCGTAATTCATAAATTAATTACATTTAAATTAGTAACTAGTTTATATTTAATATATCATGCAAAAAATTTTTTTTAAACAATTTTTTCAACGTTTGGAGCTTTGTCTGCATTGAAAAAAATATATGGTGATATTAAAGTAACACGTAAATTGTATTAAAGCAATCTGTTTTTACAAAATTAATTTCCATTGCAGTGTTGTTCTCTGCCACTCTGTAATTTCATAAAGTTAGTTTAAAAAGGTAACAGGTACACTGATAAAAGTATACATACAACCAAATTCGGGTGCTGCTTGGACTGGATAGACAAGACTAAACTCTGCACTTAAAAATGTAGTTTAAAAAGTGAATTATACCTCAACTATTTATTTGATTTGAAAAACATAATTTTTGAACCTAGCCCCCAGTTAAAGTACCCTGTATATCTTTACCATTTTATATTAAAAAATATACAAGGTTTCTTTCTCTTCAATATTTTTATTTGCAAAAATATTTTTTAACAATATTGTTAGATATTCAGTTGAAATGGAAAAATTTAGAAAGTTTATGAGATATTGCAACTTTTAACTTCTCTTGCATACAAAATTTTCTTGTGTATTATATATTTCCTTTCAATAAAATATATTTAATTATATTAAGTATATTTAATTTCAAAATTTCAATTTTAAATTTGTCTAATTTTTAAAACTGAATGCTTTATCCAACTGTTACTTACCAACATTTCACACTAAATGCGACTAAATGTGCCAACATGAATTAGAATTAATTATTCATATTTTCTTTTTTAATTGTAGCTGACACTCCCTGTCTTGAAAAATTGAACCTAGACTATGGAGCTGTCCATTCATTTCATTCAAAAAATCTGTAGTTAATGACTTCATCTACTGTTTTAACACCATATATAGGATGTCGCACTTCAATGTGATACAAGCCTGTAATTTCTTTACTTTTTTACCGTTTTCAAAAATTTTTTTTTAGAAAATGGTGTAAAAAAGCCCTCTATCTAACTGTGATACTACTGTTTTTATTAATGCAATACACGGTCAACTAGTACGTGTTTTTTTTGACATCAAAACTGCTACGTAATTGGTATTAGCAATTTTTTTTCTAAAAAACATTACGTATTCTCATTCAGCATCCCTTAAAACATCTTATCACCAAGTTTCATCAAATTCAATACATCTTCAGACCAGCACTCCCTAGTTGGCCGTGTATCGCACTAATAAAAACAGAAGTATCACAATTGAAAAGAGTTTTTTTTTACCCTACATTCTAAAAAAAAATTTTTGTAATCGGCTAAAAAATAAAGAAGTTACAGGCTTGTATCACATTTAAGCGGGACACCCTGTATATAATTAACGACATTTCCCAAGATAAAATCAAATGTTTCATGTAAATTTGTATCTCACTTGAATTTATATTACAACTTCAGTGAATACACCGACATACAGGCCACTAACTAGAAGGAGAATGATCATCACAGGCCTTCCTTGGATGGTCATTCATCCAAGTGCTACAGTATAATATCAATGACAAATGCCAAGTCACTAGGTTCTACTCGCCCTAAATAATTTCATTTATATTAATGTATAAATTTTTTTAGCTTGCTAGTAGCTGGTTACGTTGGGCAAACAGGCAATGGGGCTCGTTTACGACTTCGTCAAACTACACTTCTACCCAATATTCCAGGATTACCCATGGTTATAACCCTTATATTTTGTCCTTCAATGAGAGTTAAAATGATTGACGATGGCACCAGAGTAGCATCAATTCTTTGCGGCCTTGGTTACAATGAAATAACTAATAAGGCTCACTACCCTGCTCATGACTTATCACTAACCCTAGACACTGAGTTGACTGAGGATGAAGTTAACAGGGTACAACACTTTATTTCTCACTTTTTACAATAATTTTTTTTTGTTATGTACAGGGTAATCCACATAACATTCTACCCTTTTCTTTTTTCCCTTTCCATCTAGGAAAAAATAGTAATGACCAAGTTGTAGGAAATTTTGTTGCAATATCAAAGAAATATATAAAAAAAAGCAATGGGCTATTATGTGATATTATATCGAAACTTTTGTTTTTTAAATGTCATATATTTTTCGCTTATTGGAATCATCTCCTTTTTCTTATTACAATGAGACATACATGTCATATATTTGCTTTAATAGTTGGCACAAGATTATGTTTTATTTATTGACCCTCCAGAGTGGATAAAGTTAAGACTGCCATGGAACCAGTGCATATTTAAGCTTTTTCTGTATTAAATTTACTATACTGTAGATCCTATAATAACCTGATCATGTTCTAGGCAAAGCACATTTTTTTTTAAATAAATTTTTCCTTATGAAGGAATAATTATTTTATGTTCCACAAGACCAATTTGATGTCAATAAAGTTTTTTCTATGGGGGGACTGAGAGATAAGGTAAACGAAGCAAGATCTAATAATTTGTACAACCTATGGAAGAAAATATTGAACGGAGTTGGTACTATCAATAAGGTGGGTAACAAAGTATTTAAAAAAATTGCATGGAAGGCATATGTCCTTTGTCTCGAACAGGATGAAGGTATTATAAAACACCTTTTATAATGACATTTTTCCTTAAAAGAGAATTTAAAGATTTATTTAGTAAACTTAATAGACAACATACCTACGCAGTGGTTCCATGGCAATCTTGACTATGTGCAGAATCAGTAAATAAACTAAAATATTATGCATACTAACAAAGCATCACTATACAGGTTGTTCCACCACGAACTCCATCGGTGGATATCTGGGTAACCGCTTTTAAGGATTTTTTTGAAATTGTGATGGTGTGATACAGACTGTGGGGCCTACCAAGCTAAAATATTTTCAAGGTCTTCGTACTTCCGGTTATACCGGAAGTCCATACTAACTTTCTTATTTTAAATGGTACCCCCTGTATATTATTGCATTTTTGGAAAGATCATCTATTTTTAAGTTGAAAACACACTCCATATTTAGGAGTGACCATTTCCGAGATATTTTGATTTTTAAGCAAAAATTGACAGATGCAGACTGTCAGCAAAATGTTGTAGAGGAAGACTTAATTTATCAAATTTGACATGAAAATTTAACAATTTTTATACAGGGTGGTCACAAATTTTTTATTGTATATGAACTTCAGAAAACGTGGAAAACTAGAAATTTTTAAATGGAAACCCCTAATTTTTTAACGTATTCGCATCCTGCACTAAAATTAAGTGTAACTTTGTTAAAGTTTCCCTATATCTAAACCCAGTGGTTTTCATTTTATTTACGAATAAACATTTCCTTTTTCTTAAAATGATGTTTCCATTTGTTTCGCATATTTTAGGTTGGCTGTGACAGGTAAGTAACAATCAACATGACAACTGTCACATGTTTATAATTGTCAAATTTATTTTAATAAATATTCAAAATGTCTTCCTTCAACTTCTAAACATTTTTCACACCTTTGAATTAGTTCCTTGTGGGTCGCTGCTCTAATAGAATCTGATGATAGATGCTCAAATGCTTGTCTTACTTTATGCATACAATTTTCCTTTGTTGTTAATGGACTACTATACACACTATTTTTTAGTGTTCCAAATAAAATAGCATATATCACCGGATTCTATTAGAGCAGCGACCCACAAGGAACTAAATAAATTTGAAAATTAAAAACCTGTGACAGTTATCATGTTGATTGTTACTTACCTGTCATGGCCAACCTAAAATGTGCGAAATAAATGGAAACATCATATTAAGAAAAGGGAAATGTTTATTCGTAAATAAAATGAAAACCACTGGGTTTAGGTATAGGGAAGCTTTGACAAAGTTACACTTAATTTTAGTAAGTTTTTGATATTTTTTTAGAAAAATAAACCTATTTTTCCGGGAAAACTAAATTTTGCCGACAGTCTGCATCTGTCAATTTTTGCTTAAAAATCAAAATATCTCGGAAATGGTCAATCCTACGTATGGAGTGTTATATGTTTTCAACTTAAAAATAGATGCTCTTTCCAAAAATGCAATAATATACAGGGGGTTCTATTTAAAATAAGAAAGTTCGTATCGGCTTCCGGTATAACCGGAAGTATGATGACCTTGAAAATATTTTAGCTTGGTAGGCCCCACGCTCACAATCACAATTCAATCACATCATCACAATTTCAAATAAATCCTTAGATGGGTTTCCCAGATATTCAACGATGGAGTTCATGGTGGGACACCCTATATAGTCGTGCACTTCATAAGTTCTGTATATCATTGTTTTGTGATTTAGATTTATTTTAACGTTTTATACATGTTGGTGTTTTTATGTTGTAATGTATTTTGTTCTAAATTTGTCATTGACTTTTGTAAATAAACTTATTACTAGTATTATTATGAAATGTACTGTTATCAGGAAAAGAGAGAAATTGAAAAATTTACAAATATTCATGGTGTTCCATGCAGCAATCAACAGTTCATTTTTAAATCACAAGACAATTTCTTCGTCTGTTATTTTTTTCAATATAGAAAGGGAATAAATGAAAATTAAAAAAAAATTACATTTTAAAAACAAGCATTTAAAAAAATGCACTGAAAAGAAAGAAATAGTCTAAGGAGTTCATAAAACCGATAATGTTGTGTAAACCCTAAACCTTCAAAAGGGTTGAATGTGGCTGCTCTATAGAATTGTCATCAGCAAAAGTATGACAAAAAGACACGTACTATCTATAACACAAGCCGACAAAATTTGGGCGACCCTCTAACCCAAAAACCAGAATGTACTTTTTCGAAGGAATTTGGTGCACTGAATTTGAATCCGAGGTCTAACTTTCTCAATTGGCTCAAGATATCGATGCCGTTTTTAACATTAAATCTTCCTTGAAAATTGAGTCCAAAAGATATAAACCACTTTTTATCTATCTCGGAACATACAAGAAACTCATAAATGTTGAAATTGGCTTACCTTGTACATAAGCTTTGTCATGTTTTTTAAAATCAGTTTTTCATTGTAAATGTTCACTATTAAAAACATTATCATCATAGCTTGTAAAATGGTTTTTCGCATGAAAGAGTTTTTTTTACCTTAAATTTTATTTTTCATAGATCAATCAGATGCGCTTCCATTTGAATCAAGGCGTGAAGTTGATGAGTGATATTTCAGAGCAAGTGGCTAGTGAGAACGAAATGATTAGAACTCAAAATTGCCTTAAGAAGGAGATAAAAGAGTGAGTATTGTAAAGAATGACATAGATAAACGTAATTTATTTTGAAAAATTTTTACATCAAATTTTATGAATCTATGTGAGTATAGATAGGTTTTACTATGTTGTTTTTTTTGTTTCAAAAATGCTCTAGTTTCTGTATTTAACCATACTTTTTTGGTACTGATGGAAGGTTAATTATGTATTAAGAAACGTAAATCATATTTATGTAGTAATGATGCCTAAAGGACCAGTTATTAGAAATCCGTAACTTACCATAGAATGCAATTGATCACTTCCATTTTTAAATTTCAAAATTTATGTTGCCATTGAATTGGGCTATTACACTTATTTTATCTTTATCTAGGAACCAATGTTTGAATATTTTTTCATTCCTGAATAGTTCTTTGGTTATTTCTTGTATTTTAATAAATGACTTCTCATAAGTAACTCCAAACTAAACTTAATATTGTTTTAAGGAAGGAAAATAAATGGCATAAACATTGATTTTGATCATTTGTTCAATATATTATTTTTGAATTATTTGAACAATAATGATGATAGACCACTATATTAAAAGTATTTAGTGCCCATTAAAATAACATTAACGAGCTGTCTAGAATTAAAGGATTAAAGAAATACCTAAGATATGTATACGAATGTTTTATGAAGTGTTTCACTCTTAAAATTTTTCTCTAGTCTAAATACTACTAAGTGTATAGTACCGATATTCTTTGCTTTTTGCAAACAATAACAAATTATTAACTCTACTAAGTACGACTTATCTCCAAACAAAGTGTGTAACAAAGCTTTAATTTAAAAAATCTTAAAAAAGTTATTGCTTGTGATGTGTTAAAATTTTGGCACTTATTTCTTGGCTATCCTATACAGTCATTTTGGATCTGTTTCTGGTATGTTGTCCAAATTTAATGTCTGCACATTAATAACTATATTTCCCAGTGATAACAAAAAGTAATCAAAACGCCTTCGTTTAAATTTTTGTGAAATATTTGTTTATATTTTTGTAGAATATTTGCATTTTCAATGAGACACATATTAGACATATAGACATATATTTTTCGAATTTTTAAAATTATCTTTTATATAATGTGGTGTTATATAGATTTACACAAAGAAAGGACCCCGCACAAAATATATGGAAAGAAAACACACACACACTCACAAATGATCTCTAAGTGAATTACAAGAATCTCTAAGGGCCAAGCAAAACCCATATTCGGATTCAGTGATCACAAAAACTCGGATCCGGTTACCCGGCACCAAGGTGTACAGAGTCTTATGGCAGCTTTCACATATGACATGTGTATTCTTTATATCACTGGTTGAAACCAGACCTGTCCAGTGGAACAGTGGGCCTTTTCATATATTTTTTTTTTATTGCGACGACATCGGCAATAGCCAAGCCACATAATTGCAATGCGTCTACGATCCATCTCTTGTCGTGATAAAAATGCAATTGAGACTAATATCGGCCAAACCGGTTTGAAAATTAAATTACGTGTGAAAGAGCCAGCCGGATCCGGCAAGTGTGCAACGAGGCTAATGTAGTTTCAGACCCTTGATGTATGAAATCCATGTTCTTCACAGTTTCATTGATCTACAGGGTGTATTTAAATGGAGGGGCACAAATGATAACAGAGATTCCTTGGGTGAAAATAAGTCGATTTAACCTAACATACCTATATCCCAAGTCGCATAATAAAAAAGCTACAGGGTGTTAAAGTGAAAAATAAAAAATGGTTTTTCTTTAATAATTTCTATAATTTTAGTCAGAAATGTTTCAAATTTTCAACAGAGGTTTTTTAATGATGGGAAAAATAATATAATAATGATTTTTGAGTGTCGAGTACGAAGCGCCCTCTGCAGGCAACGTTATGCATTAAATACGTAGTAACTTTTTTGCCAACCCCCGTATACAGCTTTTAGTAACAAAATATGAAATAGTGGACCTTTTTGAATAAAAAAGGTATACTTAGTTAAAATGGGTACAGCCAACCATTGAGGAGATATTTTTAATTTCATAAATTAGTGTTACAGATTTATACCAAGGTTCGAGTTGCTTAAATAAATTAAAAAATCGAGTAGGTAAATGTCATTTGATTTGAAGTATTAGTTTAAAGTGTTAATTGATTTTAGTCACTATTTACCTGCGTCCTAGATATTAAATAGTTTTGAAATTGAGTAAAATAACAAATTATGTATACCAATGACGAGTATGTCGATATGTTGCAAGTATTTTTTGAATGTTACAAGAACTGTGCTGCTGCTGTACGACTTTATCATGCCAGATATCCCAATCGTCGTCTTCCTGCTAGAAAAACTTTTGCGGCGGTAGAAAGAAGNAAAAAATTGAAAAAATGAAGGGTGGTTTTTTGTGGCTATTTCTCGAGATACACTAACCAAAAAAATCACGTATAATCAGTGAGTCTTAAGCTACAATGCATAGTAGTTACATAGATCTGCGATGGGTGGATCATATTCAAAATAATCATTTTATGTTGCTAGGTACAATATTGTGAACTGATACTTGTTAGAACTTTAGAATATACCATGAAAGTGATGTGTGAGATCTTTGTGAAGTTGCAATATTTGTGTAAGTTTTAACTGACGTATTACTCTTACAGATGTTATATAAAAAGATATCGGTATCCGATTTTGTCATAATTAGTCTGAAAATTAAATCTTTATAGTATGCCTGTAGACTCACAATGGTACAAATATTGCATCCCAATGTCACCTTGGAACAGATGGAACAAAATCAATTGCGCGTGCGCAAACTAACAGCTGATCCAGTCAAAAAAATCATTATTGTGAAGACTGGTTAAAATATTTGACATTACATATATGTACTTTTCACATCAATTGAAGCTATAATAAGGCTAAAGAGTATAATATTCGGTTGGATATAATTTTGCATATTTTTTATTTATTATTGTAAAATGGAAGACAATAGCAGTATACAAAATAAATGTATTAACTGTAATCGAAATTGTTGGATTTTCCAACAATTTTTTTTTTCAATTTTCAACATACAATAAAATCTTCGGTCACATATTTAATATTTATTTATAATTATTTTTAAAATATAGAAAGAATTATTCACCCATGAACAATGTAAAACTTAACCTCTGCTTGACTGGATCAGCTGTTAGCTTGCGCACGCGCAATTGATTTTGTTCCATTTGTTCCAAGGTGACATTGGGATACAATATTCGTACCATTGTGAGTCTACAGGCATACTATAAAGATTTAATTTTCAGACTAATTATGACAAAATCGGATACCGATATATTTTTATATAACATCTGTATGTGTAATACGTCAGTTAAAACTTACACAAATATTGCAACTTCACAAAGATCTCACACATCACTGTCGTGGTATATTCTAAAGTTCTAACAAGTATCAGTTCACAATACTCTACCTAGCAACATAAAATAATTATTTTGAATATGATCCACCCATCGCAGATCTATGTAACTGCTATGCATTGTAGCTTAAGACTCACTGATTATATGTGATTTTTTTGGTTAGTGTATCTAGAGAAATAGCCACAAAAAACACCCTTCATTTTTTCAATTTTTTTTTCTCACTCTTGAAAAACTATGAAAAAAATATACAATATAATTCTTATCAGTAGCTTTCATATGCCGTTGGATTTATTCAAATATCTATCATAGTTTTATAGAAAAATGATTTTGAAGTTAAGGGTTGCAACCCCATTTTTTTAAAAATGAGCAAAGATAGAGCTCTGATAATTGGTCAAAAGTTACTTCTATCAACAAACAACACACTGAAGACACCATTGTTAAAAAACACGCCAGTGCAGATTTCATGTGGAACCCCGGTGAGACCCTTTGTATTAATAAAATTTTATTCTTTGCAAAACTGTTTGTAATATTTCAAATATTCAAAAATATATTATTTTCACGTATTTGCATACAGAGTTTTAAATATTTTAAAAAATGTATAAAATACAAAGAACAAGATACCAATAGTTTTAAAGATGGCTAAAAATTGTATTAAGGAAAAGTTTAACAAGTAGAAGGTACTTTTAACCCTTTCTCTGTGCAATGCGATTGAACGTAGCTATCGCGCCGTGCGCGAAAGTTTACCGCGTGCGAATATATTCGTTTGGAGCAGTTAGACTAGTGGCGGTGTTACCATAAGAGCTGCGGAGCTGCAGAACACATAAAATTTTATGTATTTAATCATATTAAATGTTTACAACATCTTTAAAGAATCCAAATGTACTCGCGCTAAAATAAATCTAGGAGCTTATATTATTATTTATTGCGACGCGAGCTACGCTCCTTAATATATGCAACCTCATGTACAAAATGTGTGCACAGCGAACAATTANTGTATTTTGTTCTAAATTTGTCATTGACTTTTGTAAATAAACTTATTACTAGTATTATTATGAAATGTACTGTTATCAGGAAAAGAGAGAAATTGAAAAATTTACAAATATTCATGGTGTTCCATGCAGCAATCAACAGTTCATTTTTAAATCACAAGACAATTTCTTCGTCTGTTATTTTTTTCAATATAGAAAGGGAATAAATGAAAATTAAAAAAAAATTACATTTTAAAAACAAGCATTTAAAAAAATGCACTGAAAAGAAAGAAATAGTCTAAGGAGTTCATAAAACCGATAATGTTGTGTAAACCCTAAACCTTCAAAAGGGTTGAATATGGCTGCTCTATAGAATTGTCATCAGCAAAAGTATGACAAAAAGACACGTACTATCTATAACACAAGCCGACAAAATTTGGGCGACCCTCTAACCCAGAATGCACTTTTTCAAAAGAATTTGGTGCACTGAATTTGAATCCGAGGTCTAACTTTCTCAATTGGCTCAAGATATCGATGCCGTTTTTAACATTAAATCTTCCTTGAAAATTGAGTCCAAAAGATATAAACCACTTTTTATCTATCTCGGAACATACAAGAAACTCATAAATGTTGAAATTGGCTTACCTTGTACATAAGCTTTGTCATGTTTTTTAAAATCAGTTTTTCATTGTAAATGTTCACTATTAAAAACATTATCATCATAGCTTGTAAAATGGTTTTTCGCATGAAAGAGTTTTTTTTACCTTAAATTTTATTTTTCATAGATCAATCAGATGCGCTTCCATTTGAATCAAGGCGTGAAGTTGATGAGTGATATTTCAGAGCAAGTGGCTAGTGAGAACGAAATGATTAGAACTCAAAATTGCCTTAAGAAGGAAATAAAAGAGTGAGTATTGTAAAGAATGACATAGATAAACGTAATTTATTTTGAAAAATTTTTACATCAAATTTTATGAATCTATGTGAGTATAGATAGGTTTTACTATGTTGTTTTTTTTGTTTCAAAAATGCTCTAGTTTCTGTATTTAACCATACTTTTTTGGTACTGATAGAAGGTTAATTATGTATTAAGAAACGTAAAACATATTTATGTAGTAATGATGCCTAAAGGACCAGTTATTAGAAATCCGTAACTTACCATAGAATGCAATTGATCACTTCCATTTTTAAATTTCAAAATTTATGTTGCCATTGAATTGGGCTATTACACTTATTTTATCTTTATCTAGGAACCAATGTTTGAATATTTTTTCATTCCTGAATAGTTCTTTGGTTATTTCTTGTATTTTAATAAATGACTTCTCATAAGTAACTCCAAACTAAACTTAATATTGTTTTAAGGAAGGAAAATAAATGGCATAAACATTGATTTTGATCATTTGTTCAATATATTATTTTTGAATTATTTGAACAATAATGATGATAGACCACTATATTAAAAGTATTTAGTGCCCATTAAAATAACATTAACGAGCTGTCTAGAATTAAAGGATTAAAGAAATACCTAAGTTATCTATACGAATGTTTTATGAAGTGTTTCACTCTTAAAATTTTTCTCTAGTCTAAATACTATTAAGTGTACAGTACCGATATTCTGTGCTTTTTGCAAACAATAACAAATTATTAACTCTACTAAGTATGACTTATCTCCAGTGTGTAACAAAGCTTTAATTTAAAAAATCTTAAAAAATTTATTGCTTGTGATGTGTTAAAATTTTGGCACTTATTTCTTGGCTATCCTATACAGTCATTTTGGATCTGTTTCTGGTATATTGTTCAAATTTAATGTCTGGACATTAATAACTATATTTCCCAGTGCGATAACAAAAAGTAATCAAAACGCCTTAGTTTAAATTTTTGTGAAATATTTGTTTATTTTTTTGTAGAATATTTGCATTTTCAATGAGACACCTTATATATTTTTCGATTTTTTAAAATTATCTTTTATATAATGTGGTGTTATATAGATTTACACAAAGAAAGGACCCCGCACAAAATATATGGAAAGAAAACACACACACACTCGCAAATGATCTCTAAGTGAATTACAAGAATTTCTAAGGGCCAAGCAAAACCCATATTCGGATTCAGCAATCACAAAAACTCGGATCTGGTTACCCGGCAGCAAGGTGTACAGAGTCTTATGGCAGCTTTCACATGTGACGGAAGGAGCATTCTTTATATCACTGGTTGAAACCAGACCTGTCCAGTGGAACAGTGGGCCTTTTCATATATATATTTTTTTTATTGCGACGACATCGGCAATAGCCAAGCCACATAATTGCAGTGCGTCTACGATCTATCTCTTGTCGTGATAAAAATGCAATTGAGACTAACATCGGCCAAACCGGTTTGAAAATTAAATTACGTGTGAAAGAGCCAGCCAGATCCGTATAGCTGGATCTGGCTGGTCGGTCCGGCAAGTGTGAAACGAGGCTTAGTCATTCCTCCTAAAAAGACCACTTTGAGGCCCAATATCTCGGAAACTATGCATAACCGGTCTTTGAACCCATAGAGACTTTTGATCAGAATGCTAAAAACTATAAGTGCAAAATTTCAGCCAATTCGACCGGGATTTTTTTTCCATATATGTATTTTGTGTTTGGTCCTTTGTTGAAGCATCAAAAATGATTCTTTTGGAGTCAACTCTTTTATGAAATGATTTTTTTTACATCCAAATATGTGATTACTATACAGTGTGAACCGATTCTCTTGCTTTTAATGACAGACCATGAAATATATACAAAATTATGTAAAAAAAAGCAATATACATTTATCTTAAAGTAGTTTGTTTCAAAACAATGAATGATTAGTTTAGTTAAAATATTTGTATTTTTTTGCTATTGATTTTTTATTTGTAAAGGGTCTCACCGGGTTTCCACGTGAAATCTGCACTGGCTTGTTTTTTAACAATGGTGTATTCAGTGTGTTGCTTGTTGATAGAAATAACTTTTGACCAATTATCAGAGGTCTATCTTTGCTCATTTTTAAAAAAATGGGGTTGCAATCCTTAACTTCAAAATCATTTTTCTATAAAACTATGATAGATATTTGAATAAATCCAACGGCATATGAAAGCTACTGATAAGAATTATATTGCATATTTTTTTCATAGTTTTTCAACTATATAAACAATGAGAAAAAAAAATTGAAAAAATGAAGGGTGTTTTTTTGTGGCTATTTCTCGAGATACACTNTTATTCATACCGTCAGTAGGTAATTCGTGAATAGATATTTCAAAAAGGTATCAATTTCAAAAATCGTTCTTGTGAAAATCTGTATTTTTGTATAAATGCATTGTTCCTTGAAATTCAGAAGTGCCAGGAAAACGCGTGACCTTGAAAATTTTAAAATTTTTCGTCTGCGGCGCCATTTAGAGACTCCGGGCACTTAATATCTCGGAATTCAATTCAACAAATGTAACAACCCTAAGCAGAACACATTCAATCAATGTTCACGCGCTGCTACTGAGTTAGACTACTTATATTTTTACATTATGTTGTGTTAATTTAAATTAAAATATGTTTAAACGTTTCAAAATAATAATTGTAATAGTTTAATTATTAATATTTTATTATAAAGCAGAAACTGAAAAAGAGATGAACAATCTTGGCATTATTACCAGTACCTCTTCCATAAAAATAATTGCCACAATCGCTATAAACTCCGCCCGCAAAAATTCCCTATTACCAGTTGCAACAACCGAGTCACTAATGCGCATGGTTGCGAATATATACGGTTTGAACAGCCTGATCCAATTTAACTATTCAAGCGAATTAATTCGTCTGGAGCAGATTGAGCCCCATAAATTTTTAGCAAATAAATACGTCTGGAACAGTGGAAGGGTTAAATATAAAATCTTAATACCATTCATTATAACATAATATACTTTCTGAACATTTGAAGTAATGTAAAAATTTCTACAAAGAATAACATTTTCTCCATAATCTGTACATAAAAAAGTTCAAATGGAAAAAAAAAATAAGAGCAATTAAACGTTTTGTTATGAAACAAATTTTTTACGCAATTTTATTCATATTTCATAATTTTTTAAATATTCTCCTAAAATTAAAAAATTGTAGAAATCAGTAATTATAAATGTTAATATTGATGCACCCTGTATAGCAATCACCTATTCGGTGGTAAAAATTGTAGCCTCAAAATAAGTAGGTGTTTTTATAAAGAATGACATTTTGTTTGTTTGGATTTGATGTATTTTGAATCTAGACTAATTTATGACGCACTATTTGTTCCATTTATTAAAATATAAGTTTGAATCACCGGAATTAATGAGATTATCACATTTATACTGCATTCTATGAAGAAAATACCTATAGAAAAAAAACCTTACAAAATTAAAAAATTATCAAAAAAGATAGTTATATAAAATGCTCGAAAATGTCCTATATGTACATTAATCGAATCAAAATATCAAGGCTATTAATTTTTTCTTGAAAATAAAGTTCAGGACGTCTTAATTACTTTTTGTCTATCTTTGAAAATACTAGAAGCCCCTCAAAAGTATTGAAATTAATTAGGAGGCAAATACTCGATATTTTTCAATTATTACTCAGTTACATTATGTGTTATTAATTTTTAGATTGATTTATTTGAAAAGACAGACTATTGAGAGAGCTAATGTTAAATTTGCAAATATTTGGTGGAAGAACAATACAGATGCAGTTATTCTAAAACCAAATATGTGTGATGATGCAGAAGACATATGGCCCTTGCTGTGGTTTGTCAAACTAAATCAAATAGAAAATTACGGTCCTAATGTAAGGAAGAATATCGATGACTTGGACCAAATCGCCAGAAAGTATTTATGTACCATTTATATTTTTACTAAGTACAATTAAATTGTTTCTTTTTAGAATGATGCCTGTACCAGAAAACTTAAAATGTGAGTTATGCCAGGAATTGTTGGTTACAGTTTACGAAGTCAGGTATCACCTCATATCTGATGTTCATAAAGAAGCTCTCAAAGTTTACTATGAACACGTCCAGCAATTTCAATTTGACGATGATGACAGCGATAGTGATAATTAAGTTGTTTTATTATTTGTAACATTTATTTTATGTTAAAAGAATTAATGTGTTTGTTTCCGAGCATTGCTATTGTTTTAAATAGTAAATTTGTTGTTTTAGGTTCCTTTTCACAATTAAGCAAAAAGTTTCTACCCTATGGTATTTTTTTTATAATAAAGATTATTGATGATTATGATACTTGTTATTACAATTATTCCTTCTGTGAGTGGAAAAAGGTATTCTGGAGTATTTTTTAAAATCTATAGAAAATGGTTTTTAACATAAACCTATATCACAAATATGAACTGCTGTTGGTATTTGTGTTGATGTAATACTTATGCAGTTTTTTTTTAATTAAGGGGTTACACCACTGTAAAATGCTAAAATAAATCTTTTTTTTTTAATGGAAGAAAAAGTATCTTAAAAAAATATATATTAATACGCGTATAGTATAAAATGGCGACGCTGGAGCCATTAGTGTGTGGCACATTGAATTTGAAGCGCTCTGTAGCGTGCAATGTAACTGAGGCAAATTTGTATATGGAAAAAAATTGAGAAATACATAGAAAAATTAATTTTTGTGCAATTAGCAACATTTCGTCGCCGTAGTAAGAAAAGCACGTAACTCCACTTTTTGTGAAAAATGGTATTTTAATGCCATCTTGTAGCTGATAATCAAATCTGTGTCTTAGAAAAGTATGTAACTCTGGAAACTAATTTACGCGCGTAAAACTTCGACAAGTGCAAATCGCGTATAAGAATATTCCCGCCTAGAAGAATAGAAAACCGTGTACCTTTCAGCATTTATATGTTATCCAGAGGTGTGTGTTGTTTCTATTATATAAGTAAGTAGATACTTATATTTGCTTGAAATGTTTGTGTCAACATTTAAATCTGTTTTCGTAAGTTTAGTATGTGCACATTATGGGTTTAACATTTATTTAAATAGTAAATTCATAACAATTTGGAGATAAACGTTTTTTATACAGTAGCCGCTCGCTAATTGGACGTTCAATAGTCCGACATTTCCAGTAATCGGACGTTTTGAACGCTTTTCGTGTGGGAATGGGCAGCTCTATAGTCGGACGGTTTTGATGGGCGACCGCTCGGTAATCGGACAAAAGCAAGTTCATTGCACTCCAACCCACAATATATAAGTTTTTTCATTTACAGTAAAACTAAGATGTGAGAACAGTACATACAAATAATACATATTATTTTACTTAATTTTAAAAGTATAGTTTTTCAATAAACGTATCCTACTTAATTATATTAAATTCTATAGCCTAATCAAATTGCGTGTTTTTAAATGCCAGACTCTCATATTTTGGATTACTTCCAATAGTCGGACACTTCCAGTAATCGGACAACTTAATGATCTAAGACATGTCCGATTAGCGAGCGCCTACTGTACTTAGATTTTTATGTTTATATTATGAGATACGCCAATTTCTACTAATAGTCCTGGTTTTTCTAAACAAGTTATAAGTTTTTTAGTAATTACTTGTGCTTAATGAATAATAGGAACAACTCGTGACGTTCACAATTATCCATACAAAAATTTAATAAAAATCAATTTTATACCTCACCAAATATTTTTCATATGAACATCTTCCAATTTTTTATACAAAAATCACGCAACTCCAATTAAAAGTCCCAAATATATAAAAATATATATTTAAAATTTAGAAGTATATCCACGGAATTACGCATTTTTCTTGCTAAGGCGATGATTTGAAGTAAAAATTTTAATTTTTGACAAATAAAGAGACAATCCTTTGTCAATAAAATAATGTTGAAATCATCTTTGTGACAATCCCATATGTAGTTCTCTTTAGAATGTTATTTTGAAGATATGGTCAAAATTTGGAATGAATAGAATGAAAACTGTTGGATTTATGCTGCATGCCGTTTATAAAAATTGTGTCTCAAGAAAAATGCCTTTAGTTTTGAGACATACGCTATACTAACCTACTTTCCTTTGAGAATACTTCTAATTGAACACAGGCTCATTCTAACCACATCTGTTAGTATTAACGACATCTGTTAGTAGTGTGTTAGAGGAGTTAGAAATCAAAAGGTAAAGTCATTAGGCTGTACCCTTCCTGAGGTACCTATTTGCCACAGGTAGCACTTGGGAAATTTCCAAGAAAAAAAATGTGCCTTCATAAAAGTCCTTTCCCCTTATTTTTGAAGGTTCAAAGGATCTTTTAAATCGATAAAAAAATGATTTTGAAAATTATACAGTGGTCTGAAGTTTCCAACATAATAGACCAGGAAAGGAAACATTTTGAAATTTATTAATTACTGGGTGTGATTTTATTGTTGGAAAGTCTTGGGAATGATAATACAAGAGGTGTCTCATTTCATGGGTCATGAAAAAAGTATAGCGTCATTGTTTTTTATCAACAAATAGGTCAAAAATTCGTCATTTTTTGTTCTATGCGTTATTGTAAAAAAACTATTAATCTTAGCAAAAAATGTTCAACATACAATTTGATCTAGAGAAACTCATTTTTAAAATGAGATTTTATAAGTTAAATTAAAATTGCTTTATAAACAAAAAATTTATTGCAAAATTAAACGGAAAAAGTGCTTTTTCTTTAATTGTTAATAACTTTTTAAATAATTAATAAAATCTTACCCAACTTTCCCAAAATGTGAGTTTTTATATCCTTAAGAGATGTGCAAAAGATGTACTCCATCGGTCAAATAGTTTTTGCAAAATTCCATTTTAGGCCCATTTTCAAATGACTATTCTGGGGGCAGAGTTATGACTAAAACATTCTTTTTGGGCCCATTTTCTTCGAAGGGACACCAAATATCCTCTAGTTAAAAAAAATTAATTTTTTTTTCAAATTTAGTTGTATGTTAACAAATATAAGGCACTATTTTCCCTAATAAACAAAGAAAATAACTGTGGTTTTTAACTTTTGAAAGAAGACTACTCCATTTGAAAGCTCGTAAAAAAACCTACAAATTGAAAAAAAAAGTTTCTACAACCAATAGGTCCAGAGTTAGCAATTTTTTTACAACTTGCATACTAGGTGTTTCCTAACAATCTAAAATATTTTAGAGGGCGATTCTTGAAATTATTAAGTTCATATTAACAAAAATTTATTATATGTATTTCCAAAATGCAAGATTTAATGTTTTTTTTGTTTATCTGAAATCTTGTATGATTAAAAAATTGCTCAGCAGAAAGCATAATTTACTATAAACAAATTTAATCACTTCTCCGGTGGCATGTATGTAACCGATGGTATCCAATTATGTTTAAAAATGTAATATGCATCCTACTGATATTTTAAATTTTTGTGTATTTTTTGTAATCCTTGTTCATTACCTGATATTCATGATCCGGGAGTGGCTGATTCTGATGTTTCCCCACTTTGGTGAGCCATGTTCTCGTTCATAAGGCGTTTTTTTTTGTGGGCATGGTTTGGTTGTGAGTTTTGACTTTTTGTTTCACTCCACCGTAGGAGAAACTTATTTTTATTTCATATGGGCCCTTGTCCAGAAAGGTTGAGAGGGAAGTCAAAATGTGTAAAAGAAAAATGTATTACTTATTTTATTTTATCCTTTCTGATTTGTTTCTCAGGACTTGGATTTTTCTTTTAGCATATAAAATTTGATTGGGAAGATAATAGATAATTAAGTCGTCTTAAGTTACTAATTTTAAGGAAATTATTACTATACGATAAGGTTTATAATATATGTGATTAAATGAAAATAAATATATATAATAATATGAACAATAATAATAAAAATAGATTAAAATATATTTTTATTCGTTTTTAAGATATTGTGAAAATTCAAACAAATCCTATCAAATGAAATCAAACAACATTCTTCGATACTAGAAATCTAGGCGGGCAAAAGGCTCAAATAAAGTGAAATGATTAAATAATTAATAGAAAACACATCCTGTAGCATCCACACTCAAATTTTTGTGTCAGATTATTTTATATTTTGTACAGGCTAGGAATTTGATTCATATATTCAATATAAATATTTAGGTTTTACTATTACTACGTGTTGAATATATTCCCTAAATGGTGAATTATTAGAAAAACTATGCATTTGATAAAGATGTATTTTGTATTTAATGTGCAAAAAACGCAAAGTTAAAATTGCCGCCAATAAATAGTAAACTTTGAGGTTATAGATTGGTATTGCTACTGTTGAACTGTTGTTGGTAACAGTGCTGAAATTTCCTTTTCTTTCTGCACAGTTTGTGCTTCGATTGTGTTGGAATATCTTTTCCAAATAATTTAAATAAAGTAAAAACATGGGTTTCCAAAATATCTGGTATTCTCATCCTCGTAAATACGGACAGGGATCTAGATCATGGTAAGTTCATCAAGTTTATTTGTAGCGTAGTTATCGAAATAAACTTATTTGCAAATGAACTTTGTGCACGTGTTGTCTTATTAATATTTTGGGTAAAATATGTAATGAAATTCTATTATAAAAGCTGTGACTCAATCAAATTACCTTTTCTTCGTTCTTAAATCTAAATTTTCGTTATCAAATAAATTTCGAATTTTAAGGTTAAGTCGTTAAGTGGTCAAGTTTAACCTTTTCAAATAAACGATTTTTCTAAACTTGGGTACATTTAATGTTTATAAATACACATTGGTAAAAATATATCTTAGATGTGAGTACCACTGAATATATGAGACAAAATAGCCAAATACATATTCTGGTATTTTATAGTTTGTTGGTAAAATTACTCTGCACAATACAAGTGGTTCTTTAAAAAATGGAGTGTTAATTAATTTGAATATAAAAAGTAAATATCTTGTTACTTTGCAAACTGATTGAAAGTGAAAGTGAAGAAGAATGTGATATAAAACACTTTGGTTTACTAGACACCCATTTGTGCCAGCTAATATCTTTATTTCATGGAAATTAAATATTTTTGCCTAAAATGGAAAATTATTCTTGCATCCCGATTAATAATTATAAGTAACTCTTGCTAGTTCAATTTTGTTTTATAAAAAAAAAAACCACAGAAATGAGACAACCCCCCAGATCCAAAGCCAAAGGCTGAGCGGAAGGGGACTACAACGCAAAAAACGCGGACAAACTCCCATTATCCATCAACATTACCAGTCCCAATGCCAGGGATCGAATCCGGACCAGAATAGGAAGTGTGGCCGGGAAATTTTTGCCACCACATGCTCGACCTACTACGCTACCGTGGCGTTATAGTAATTAATATTTACTATTATAAACTAGCTGACCCAATAGACGTCCTGTTCAGAAGAAAAAAAACACCTTCAGTTTTCCCCCGAATGTTCCAATTTTCCAGCAACTTTTCCAATTTTTCTTTCCCTAAAAACCTTATTCGGACTATTATGAACATTAAAAAAAAATTGCCAAATCGGTCCAGCCATTCTCAAGTGATGCTCTTACCAAAGAACAGCATTAAATTTTTATTTATACAGATTAAATTTGAATCATTACCTACCTCTATTGTTCGTATACAATGTTAATTTCATAAATAAATTTTATAGATCTATAAAAGTTTATCTTTACAATATAGGGAAAAGAAACATTTTCAGTTCTATAAAGAAAAAGAAACCGCAACGGATTTGATTGAGGCATTTCAAAACAATTTTGTACATACACACAATAAATTACATATTTTATTCTAAGCTGTTGGTGAAAATTGAAGTAGTGATATTTTTATAATGATAAAGTATCTATAATAAAATTTGTGAAATAAGAAATCCAAATAAGGGTTGCCCACCTTGAGATCTCGAAACGTATAGGTATATGCACAATCAAATAATAAATACAGCCTGGTATTTTTTCATTTCTAACAAAAAATTTTTCATTTTTCTTAAATTAAAATTTAAATAGGTAGGTAGTATAACCACGAACATAAAATTTTTCGAAAAATAAAAAAGTATTTGTCAGTTCTTAATAATAAAAAATATTTTGCATATACAAGAAATTAAAATAGAGGTTGTTTTTCCATATATACTATATACAGGGTATAGCAAAAGTACCGGAACGGCAGAATAACTCAGCGGGAGAGCGTTTTAGAGAAAAATGTTAAGTACAAGAGTTTCAGGATTTCTTCCTGGCTATCCGATGGTGACCTTGATGATCATTTCAAGGTCAAATGTGATTTTTCAAATGGGACCTTAGAAATGAATAGAGAAAATCCACTCCTTGTTTGTTATGAGTCCTAGCATCCTCTTAGACTGACTACAACCACTGGTTCCCCACCACCAGTTCATGTGCTCTTGGTTGACCCAGTCCCTGATGATGGTTTTGACCTAGCTGAAGGGCAGTCCTACGAAGGGTTCTGGCCCGTGAGCAGTCTGAGTTGTATTTAACATTTTTCTCTAAAATGCTCTTCCGCCCAGTTATTCTGCCGTTCCTGTACTTTTGTTAGTTTGATCTTATGGGGATCCCAAGTTTAAAAAGGAGGGATCACTTAAGGTATATCTGAACGTAAAATTTTCCGCTCTTCACTTCTGGGGTCAAAAGTATAGGGTCCCATTTGAAAAATCACATTTGACCTTGAAATGATCTTCAAGGTCAATGTCATAGCCAGGGAGAAATTCTGAAACTTTTCTATTTAAGATTTTTCTCTAAAATGCTCTCCCACCGAGTTATTGTGCCGTTCCGGTACTTTTGCTATACCCTGTATATAATATATATGGAAAAACAACCTCTATTTTAATTTCTTGTTTTGTAAATTTAGATTCAAATTTTTGTATCATAAAAGTTCTCATTGCGGGATTAGGAATCAATCATCTCCTATAAACAGTATGGGTTCTATACTTTATAAACATGTGTTATCTATGCCAATTTCAGTAAGGCATTTAATAAACTTAATTACGGTATTTTGCTTAATAAACTGGATATGATGGTGTTTCTGATACTTCTGCTGATGCTAAGTCTATTAAAATCTTGCCTATCTAAATGTTTACAGTTTATGTATTATAATGTACATGTTTTGTGTTATTTGTATTTATGTACATGTAATTCTTTTGTTCCTTTCGCACCTATAATTGGTACTTCTTTTGTCAGTTGGTGCATTTAAATAAATAAATATGGTTGGTTTAAATAATTGATTTTAATTTTTTAGTCGAGCTTGCTCTAACAGACATGGACTAATTCGTAAATATGGATTAAATCTTTGCCGTCAATGTTTCAGAGAATATGCTGCAGATATTGGTTTCAAAAAGGTAAGGTTTATGCAACATATAGTATAGACCATAATTAATAATTTTGTTTTATTTCAGCTTGACTAAATATTGAACTGAAAGATTTTTTTTATGTTAATGTAATATATCTAAAATAAAATGTTTCCATGAAATACAACTTTTTTACATTATCCCTAGTTCTGTATTTTGTGTTTTTATGAACAGATTATGAATATAAAATACATGTTTATAACAAATTAATAATTAAATTTTGTGTTCATTTACTTATAAGAAAATTATAACGTGCGAAAATGTTGAATAAGTATTAGACTAATTGATAAGTAGTATATGATGTAAAAGTTAAAACTAAACATGAATTTTAAACTAACTGCAATGTTGGCAATTGAATACTGTAGCAAGGAAGGAAACCTTACTTTTGACTTATCAGATAGCGTAGCTAAAAAAAGTCGATGTTCACCTCATGGGCATTTCACGTGAAGCGGACAGCGAAAAAAATTGTACTTCTAGTAGGTATGAATGTGAACACTTTTTTTTTTAAAGTTATGGACTTCTAAAGAATTGTCATTCAAATTCGTATTTTTTGAAATAGTTTTTCGAATTAAACAAATTTATTTTATATTAAATATGGCGACATAGAAAATTTACTGTTCTTTTTAATTATAAAATGAAATTGGAAAAAAAAAATTTTCATGTACAAAACAGGAAGTGAACATTTCAAATCAGAATTTTAGTAAGTTCGACCATTTTTTTTTTATTTATTTCAAAATATAGTCTACAGTACATTTATAATAAATACACCAGAAGTTTTAATGGGATCTGCATTAGTTTAGAAGATAGATGAACTAAAGTACATATGTGTCGCACTGAGCGAGGTACCTAGCCTTCCTTAGGTCGACTGGTTTGCGCTATATCACACTAAAACGCTGCGATATTAATATGTATTAAATGAACAAAATTGCGATATTTATTTTAATTTCTAGATTAGTGTGTTTATATTAATTTTAAAATAAAACTGGTTGTTTGCTTACTTCACTCCTATTTATCATACTACGTGATACTACATCAACTTTGTACTTCGGTGTAAAAGGAAAACTAGCGATCTTAGTAGTAATCTATGTTAGTGGTAGAGTAGAATTCATTTCTACCATTACATTACATTGACAAATATCAAGTTTCCCGTATGAGTTCGGTCTCCTTGTAGTTAGTGTCCCTGCCTTGGATTCTCCTTTCGATTCAATTTAACTACCGTTTCGAAGGAATTATGGAACCGCATCGTATCGTGTGAACGGAGGATTTTAGGTTCAAAGAGCGAAATAATTATGCCTACTTATCAACAATCTCTGCCCTTTAGGCTGTGCTTTAGGTGACAACTGTGCATCGGAAAAAAAGGGGGAGCAACCTTGAGTTACAAACACCGCAGTAATTTTTTGTAAAACGACCACGGGATTTAAAACTTCTCAAAACAAAAGCACCATGTTTTATGTATAATTGTATATAGGCAATATTAATCATACTTCGTGCAATTGTGTAAAGTTGGTTGCATACATTAGTGTTTAAAATGATGCATAATGTGATGTACATACAGCGTAGGAAAGTACCGATGGTCTATCAGAAGTTACGTGAGAGCAATAAAGTAAGCCATAGAAATCCATGCGATAGACAAGGATGGCTATAATGAAGGCGTCTAATAGTCAATGCCCATTTCGCCCTTCCACAAATAAGAAGTGGATCTTATTTGTGGAAAGGCGAAACGGGCGGTGACAAAGAGAAGCCTTCATTATAGCCACCCTTCTCTATCGCATGGATTTCTATGGCTTACTTTATCGCTCTCACGTAACTTCAGATAGACCATTGGTACTTTCCTACCCTGTACATACTTTTATTATAAATTAATATATTCAAATATTCAGTAACTAATTGATTCCAATAATTTTTTGTAGGAATAACCATTACATAACTATTAGGTTATAGATAAGAACTGGAATTACACAACGAAAAACTGTAGTGTCTGTTTTGTACTGTATATAATATAAATAACTTTATATTATATGTATATAGAGATAACCTTATCTCTGAGGTCTGTATTTGAGGCTGTTGCTTTTATAATTGCGTGAAATCTGAGTTTCAATTTAATTCGTCTCAATACACGTTAATTATTTATATATTGTGTGCCTTCATAAATCCCTCATAATTATTTTAAAATGCCTATACCAATAAAGGTAAGAACATCTTGAGCAATATATTAACCTTTTACATATTTCATTTGTACATACTTACATTAAATTAAAATAATTAAATTTCCAGATTGGAATTATAGCAGGCTCTGGTATGGATAACCCCGATATTATAAAAAACAGAAAGGAATTAAAAGTATCCACTCCATTTGGGGACCCATCCGATGTGTTAATTTTAGGGGAAATCGACAATGTAGAATGTGTTTTACTAGCACGTCATGGTCGTCCACATACCATAATGCCAAGCAATATTAATTACAGAGCCAATATTTGGGCTTTAAAGGAGCAAGGTTGTACACATATACTTGCCAGTACTGCAACTGGTTCACTACAGGAGCATATTAAACCAGGAGACGTTGTGATTGTGGATAATTTTATTGATAGGTAATGAATTCCCAAATGAGAAAAAAAATAAATAACTTCAAACAAATAATTTTCTAGTACGGTGCTTTGCAATATTTTAGTTTCCATTTTTCTTCATATTTAGTACCAAGAAAAAAGTTGAACAATAAGGAAGATTTAAGTTTTCTTCAGTCTCCTGAATGGTGTATTAAATTTAGTTATGGTATTGAAATAATTCTGTATATTTACTGCACTTTAATTGCAGCATTTATCTAATTTTTTTTTACATAAAGCGAGAAAATCTCTACCTACCTCCTTTTTGTAAAATAAATATTAAAGTTGAAGCACTAAAACTAAAACAAATTTGTAAAAACTATATTCTTCTAATGCATGTAGAAAATAATTATTTTTAGTAAATAAAAACATTTTTAGAACATATGCTCGTAAACAAACATTTTTTGATGGAGAATCGGGTCATCCTAAAGGAATATGTCACATTCCTTTAGAACCTGTTTACTGCCAAATGACTAGGCAGATGATTATAGATGTTGCCGAAGAATTGAAAATTGAAGTACATAAAAAAGGTACAGTTGTAACGATTGAGGGTCCTAGGTTTTCAAGTAAAGCTGAAAGTAACATGTATCGGTTATGGGGATGTGATCTTGTCAATATGACCACAGTTCCTGAAGTGGTTTTAGCAAAAGAGGCTGGGATACTGTATACTTCTATTGCATTAGCTACTGACTATGATTGCTGGAGAGACACTGGTGATAAGGTTTGTGTCCCTGATGTTTTGAGAATATTTAAAGAAAACATTTCTAAAGTATCAACACTCATAGCAACTACTGTTTCTAAAATTGCTAGTCAAAACTGGGAAGCATCAATTAAAGAATTAAAGGTATATATGTATTGCATTATGTTGTCAGCATGAAATAAAAAATATTCTGTTTCAGGCTATGGCTGAAGAAAGTGTATTGTTGCCAAATTATAAATTCTCTCAAACATCAATTTAAGCAAATGAAAGTGTTTGTTTTTTGTTTACTAATGTATTTTTTTCTAAATTGATATTGTTTATAATAAATTTTTACCTCCCAAAAATTAAGAAACTGATGAGTGGAAAAGCTTGTATTTGTCCATTAGTACTACTTAAACAAATGGACACTCTGCTATATCCAATGTATAATATATAAACAAGGGTAATAGTAAAATTTACATTAAATACGGATGTGGGCGGATTTTTTCTACACTAAAAAAATTAGATTTTCCCTAAATTATTGTACTAAATTTTGTAGAATTGTACTGTCATGAACATGGAGCCTACACAAGGGCAAGGAGTACTACTAGGAACTAGTAGTGAGTAGTGACGAGGAGCACGAACTCCAAACGTCCAAACAAATATTTTACCAAATTAGAGGGCGCTAGTGTCCCACATACTCCAAAATAGTGGAGGAGAGATAAAGAATACGACAGTTTAAATTAAAAATCAATCATGTCGTTTTTGTGATGTGTTAAAAATTTAAAAATATAGATAAAGCACACTTTATTCTATAATCGGTTTTGATTTTTATAGATTAGCAAGTCAAATTTGACATTTGATAATTTATTTTTAACATTTTGTTATGCTTTGTGTCCTCGTTATTGGACATATAATTTTGTATATTCGTGGATTATTATAAATAATGGAACTGGAATTGTTTTATGTTAAAAAAATTATATGTATAAGTTCTTCGAAGTAATGATTAAAAACTTACTTACTTTTCTTATAAATTGTTCTATAATTCTTTTAAATTGTTTTACAGATCTTTTTGTACTTGACGATGCATTGTGTAAATTCTCAATTTTTGTCCAAATTCTTGTTTTTAATATATTCAATAATACTTTTATGTTGTCTACAACACTCAGCAAAGGTGTGTTTTCATTTTCTGTATATTGTTTTTTTTTTCTATACACCATTATTTTGTTATAATGAATTATTACTACATAATATAATTATTAGGGGATAATTAAGGGCATTTTCTGATTAAGGGAATAAATCTTTAAATAATTGAAGGTTAAGTTCGCTGAATCATGAATTTCACAGACACAAAACCATGAAACATATATTTTTGCGTTGTCATAAGTTTCACTTTCTTGAGAGTTCAGAGCGAGCAGCCGAGCTGAGCGGACGTGTTTGTTTGTGAGGTGAAGTGCATTGCAACGAGCAAGATCTACCTGCCTTTATCATTCTCGTGCGAGCGGTCGAACTGAGCGGGCGTGTTTGTTGTGAGGTGGGGTGCATTGCAGCGAGCGGGATCTGCCTGCCTTTATTAAGGCTACCTGGAAAGTATCCTTTTATTTCCTCTTAACCACCGACCTAATCCCCGGCTTAAGCATAGAGGCCGTCGGCATCTTTGTTACAGGTATCTGTGCCGGGGTTATGCCCAGGTAAGTTTTTACTTTATTTATCAGTTATTTGCATTATTTTTG